CATAATCCATCATGATTTAATGTCTAGAGCTGAGACTTTTAACCTGGACTATCCATGGAATAATGACCTTTTTCAGCGCAAGCATACAAATACAGATGTCTGCTAAACATGTATGAAAGGCAGAGAATTCAGGCAGTTTAGCTCCTCAAACATAGATCTTAAGCAATTAACCTAAAAGACAACGTTTACATAGGCACTTAAGGATCAGCTAGGTCAACACTTGAGCATGAAAGAGAAAAAAAGTACTTAATCAGGCATACAACTCTTTAGCACAGAGCAATGGCACATGCACATGTACACACAGCACCTGCCTAAAGTCAGTACTATGATCCAGTCACCAGGACTGACGGTGCCAGAGCAGCAGAGCAAGCTGCTGTCCCGTCTTCTGCAAGGACCTGCCCTCAGCTGAAAGTACATGCATTGCTATGGGCAATGATGAGCACGCAAGCTAAACGTTTTGCTAAAATTCACGAAGATTGTGGATATGGCTAATAGCTCTGATGGACATTAGAACTATAACACATTTGCAAAGGGGAAGGGAGCAAAAATAGATTCCTAATTTTGTTTCAAGGTAGCCTATAGAGATTTGCAGCACAGCTAGATGACCTTGCAAGGGAGGTTCAAATACCTACGAAAAAAAAATAAATGAGTGGAAGTCCATAAACTAACTTTCTCAAGTCAGACTCTTAGTTTATTACCTCTGCCACCTGTTCAGAAAAGTGACCCAACCCATCAGAACAAAGCTGCCATTTTCTAATTACAGCTGAGCTTGTAGCAGAGGGACCTCTGTTATACAACCTTGAGCAACAAGAATAGCAGAAGTGTCAAAGGAATCTTACTGAAGCAAGAAAGCATTGTTCACCTGCTTCACTCATCAATTTGCATCTACATTCAGATGCAAGATTATATACACCAGGTTGTATAGTTATTTCAGGAAACGCTAGTTGCTCTGATTTCCCTAGGGAAATCTAATGATGGAAAAGTTTATCTTCTTTCACACTGTAGCTGGAGCAAGTAAGAATCATTGCAAATATCCATTCTTTGTTCACCGAGATCTTAGAATGACAGCCGCATAACTCACCCCACCTGTGTATTTTTGCAGAACGCATAGGATGGTTGAGGTTTCCTTTTAATTCTTTCTTTCACAGTTTGTTTTAGATTTTCATATTATTCTGTTCCGCTGAATGCAGAGAAATAGGAATGGGCCTGTTTCTTAAAGAGATTAATGAGGCATTGTCCTGACTACACATTTCCATTGAGTAAAGAATATCTGCCAGCTCCTTGGTGGACATGAGGTAAATCCTTTCAAGTCAGTAAAACTGTGAAGCTCTAGGCTATCTAAACACTCCAGTCAGATAGCTAAGGTGGATCATTCCTGACTATTGCACACAGCTATGCAAAAATCTCACTTACAAATTAAACTTTACTTCTGCTTTCAATCTCCTTTTGCCATCTGTCCTCTGTTACTTAAAACACTTCGTCTGTCCTCCTTTCTTTCAGAAGTGGTTGGCAAATGCCAGAGGTAAGCAATTATTATCATTTACACCTAAAGTCACAACGGCCTAATACTGAAGAGCTTACAGGTTTGCTCTGACAACCCAATACAAATGTCGCATGTGGAGAACACAAAGCTACAGGATCAGTCTCATCTGCTCTGCAACCTAGCGTAAGAAATATAAATAGATTGAAATATCTCTTTGATACTGCTCATTTCTCATTCACTCAAGCAGACTCCTTAGGAAATCTCATCCCTTATCATATCCTTAAACAGCAGCACTATTCATAAGACAAGACATCCTGCTGCATCTAACACCACACAAAATTCTGCTCCTCCGATGCAGGTGGGTTGAGTTCTTCCTGCCCTGCTCCCTCCCAGTCCATTCTAGGATCCCAGTGGTGCTCCATGCCTCCCACAATATCTCCAATGGCTTCCTCCAAAGCACCCATCCCAATAACAGCAGCACATCTTCCCAACTACATCCTTCCCCAATTTGTAACTGCCATGTCCTTTCCTCTTTCTTCTGCTTTTAGGAAGTGGAACAAGAGGTGCTCCTGTTGCATGAGAATAGCATTATCCAGTGAACAGTGCAACAGAATGTACCACCCATACAAGCAAATAGCCTCCATCAGCCCATCTTAAACACCTGTGTGGCCAGGCTTCACTTTCTCAGCCTGTGTACTATCAAAGCTCCTACTTCCAAATGGGAGAAAAAGTTAGGCACAGTTAGCTAAACCAAACGCTGCACAAGAAGATACGGTAGTGACATCACACATAAGCAAGACAACTTATTCCATGAGTTGCTGTCACATTTGTGGTAATATCTTCTGGAGACATAAATTACACGAATGCAGTTCAAAAAGCAAGCTTAGCTGCTACCAGGAACAAAGCCAGACATTCAGTGGTGGCCTGGGAGATATAGAAAGGAGTGTAAGGATTTGATCCTGCCGTGACTGTTAAACACAGTGTGTGCCTTATACACACAAGGATGCCAATGCTCAGTAGGTTTCCCTTTACAACTTAGATGGTAAATCCTATCACAATCCAGCTGCAACAAAAGAGTCCTCTCAAAAAGCAGTAGAGAAGGGGCATTCTCAGGGATATTTAATGAAAAAACAGAGCTATTTTGGGAAGAGATTATTTTAATTTTGGCAAAACAGTGTTGTGAATACCTGTGAAATAAGAAAAGGATGAAGAGATGTAGCAACCACACACCCTAAGAACACCTTGGATTGATGTTCAGCAAGTTCTTTCATTCAAGCACTTTTTTGCTACCTATCTTACCCAGAAAAATGGGGGCTGGCCAAAACCAAACACCCTGGCCCTGAACTTAAAAGCACTATTTCAAACACTAGACAAATAGAAACAGCAATTTGGCAAAAGGAAGACTAAGAACAAACCTACTTGATAAGGCTTTGCTTCCACAAACAGAAGCTCCTACCACCATCCACTTCCCTTCCAAACAGATAGACTCAACAGAAGAACTCACAAGAGCTCAAAAATCTCACTGGTATTTAATGAGGGTAAGAAAGTACCAATGCACACTGTGGAAGGTTACTCTAGACTGAACAAAAAATGAATTCAGTGTAGACTAATGAAACCGTGTTTCAACCCTCTATAGTTGGGCTTACTCAGAATTAAAGTAGCTGTAATCAGCTCGAACATAACCCGATTTTGAAAAAAACTGAGTAAAATAGAGGCCACACTGAATAGCTAAAGGCAAGGACAGGCAGACAGACTGAAACACTGGTACCAAATCAGATCAAGCTTCCCAATTCTCCCATGCAAAGAGCTCCTAAATGAATTTGGATTCCTTGCATTACTTAACTTGATCCATCAAGGACAGTCCTTACATCGTGCACTGAGGGCATCAAGTTCTAAGTATTGTGCAGTATGTGTTAGGTGTGAACATTTGCACCTCCCTAAAAGGCTGCCTATCTAGGGTTGGCTGAGGACATTCACCCTCACAGCAGCAATGATGGCTGATCAAGGGAGGCTTTGCCCTTGCCACAAGAAGTGATGAGGGCCAACAAACCCTACAAGATAAAAGGTTGAAACTCTGCCCCTCTGACTGACTGCCAGATCCTGACCTGATCCCGACACAGAAGATGACACCGCTCATTGCTGGTCACAACTGAGCTAGGACTTTAATCAAAAAAGCACAAAACAGGTGATTAATTTTGCACATATGAGCTATACCATTAGACTGAGCACTCTGTGGACTCCTGCTGCATTGGCATCGAAGCTGTAATCCAGTAATTACCTCTGGCTGGCCAGACGCTTCCTCCACAAAGTCAGTATTTAGAAGACTGTTAAAATTGTCAAGGACTTTCAGCCTCAGATTCTGACTTCAGCCTTCCCAGTGTAAACTTCCACTCACAAAATTGCCTTAATTTCTATTTACGTTGTTCATTTTAGCTTCAAACCACTTACCTGCCACACAAATAGCCCTTATTAGCCTAGACTGACTAGTCCTGACTTTTACTTGTCAAAAATCAGCAGAAACAACTGATTAAGGCAGGGGTCTGGAAAGAGTCCTTTATTGAGGCTTGGAATCTCACAGTCACTTGAAGATTTTTACAGGGTGAATTTTTCTTGGGGGGTTGTGTGCCTCAACTCATTCTGTAGTTCCCAGGGGAGCAAAATGAATATGCGAAGCACAGTGAGGAACAGCCTTTTACAATGGAATCACCAGCTCACCAAACTAAACCCCAGCTTCACTTCATGATAAGGTTTGCCAGACCTCACGGTGAAATCCTGGACTTGAGCAGCAAGATCACCTCACTTCTCAGTCTTCAGCTGAACAGGACCCAAAATATATGCTAACACCAACTACAGCGGGCAGTCACTACTCCTAAAGTCCAGCTTTGAGTGGCATCAAATCACATTTTGTTAAAATACACCAGGGATGTGGCTCAAGCCTCTGACAGCTGGTACCTTATTAATCTTTGATTTCACAGCAGTCTCCTTGTGCTGGCACCTTTGCTGCCTGACATCTCAGTCTTTTGAGAGTTAATGATTGGCAAAACCAGCATTGCCGAATCTGAAGGACTTCATTTCCAATTTAAAACAAAATCATCCTCTTTACAATGTTTCCTGCCTACACTGATCTTTCTGCCCAGGACTTCAGATCATCAGTCCTGCCAGTGTAGACATTTGGAGTAGACAGCTGCCAAAGCCGAGTCAAAAATAATTACAAGGGTACACTGCAACAGATGTCTTCACAAACCTCTCCCTCTTCTCTGAAGAGTTCAAGGAAACCCACACCACCACTAACCACTCCCTTCTTGCAGGTCTGATCCTCCAAGGATATGTTACAAGCATGGTGAGGAATGACCTAGCAGCTCCTTAGAGCTATCAAAGACTGATTCAAACATGACTCACATCTCATCCATGTCAAGCGCGCAACTTCTGTGAAATACAGGACACATGCATTGGAATAGCACCAGCACAGCACCTTAAGACAGCAAACACTGCAACGGCATAGCGGCTTAATACTCACACTCAGCAGGAGGCACTTGTTTTCTTTGATGGCACCTATGCAGCCCACGAAGCCAATGATCATGACAAATGTCCCTGTGACGATCAGTAGGTTGGCAGCTGACAGGGACGGGAAAGAAGAGGAGAGGGTGGCAAAGTTCCCTTGGGTAACAGCCAGCCAGATGCCTACTCCAAGGATTCCACAGCCTCCCAACTAGGAAAATAAAGAGAAGCAAAGAAACTCAGTTATCATATCCAAGCAACCCCAGATATTAATCCACATCAATATGGGAGTGGTAGAACAGCTCTACTGGGGTAAACCAGCAGTCACATCTGATAAGAAATGATCTCTCTCTATGGCACTTTCAGCAGGGAAAACAAACAAAGGAGAAACAAAAAAAATTATAAAGGAGGAACTCATCAGTAAGATGAAACACTCAAGAAAAAGACCCAGACTTCCTAAATCCAAGACACAACTTCAAATATCAGGTTTCTTCCTCTTAGTGAAAAAGCAGACACTGAGTAAAGGAGAAATTCCCAAAGATTCAGATTTCAAAGGGATCGAAAAAATCCATATCCTATTTAGGTACCTCAGAAAGCTGCTCAGAATGGCTGAAGGACTTTCAATCCCCTGTTCTTCCCATCCCAATACACCATTCTCCCACCCCTGGCACATGCCATAAAGAAATCTTGCTAGAGCATCCCTTGGTAGGACACCTCACACCTCCTCTTAGTTTCTGTTCAAGGTCTAGCCTCCCTTGGAAGGAAGAGAGCATTTAGAGTGTTAAGGGGCCAGAGATTGAGGGAGAATCCTCCTGTAATAGTGAAAAAAACCCCAAACAGATGTTTACTCCTAGCGTGGCCACTGGTTTGGTAATCCAATCCTCAGAAGAGGACTTGGCTGGTTTAGGAAAACTTGGAGAGGGGAGCAGTAACAGAGACTCCCCAGGGAAGTGAGCAAGGAGAAGGAAAGATGTTAGTGCAGGCAGCAGCCACCACAAAAACATACGTTTTACAATTATTATATACACAAGGAACTTTTAAAAAACGCAAACATTTATAAGCATGCTGCTTATAACTGTGAGAAAGCCTGCCGAATTGTAACAATCTGAGTAAAGCTGAGCAATTAAATAGAATTAAACCAAAGGGGGTTTTGCATTATTATACAGTCACACAGCAGAGCATCGCTTAGGTTTCTTTCTCTCCTGCTCTCCCTTTAAAATAACCAATTTTTATTGAGTTTTATAATTGCACTTTATTACCCAAATCAATTAAAGGCTAGGAAAGAAATTGTGTTCATAGAGTAGTAAGCCAGACACAGGAGCACATCAATTAAATGTCTGCATAAAGTGGATGAACATAAGGCAGTTCATGAACCAGGGGAGGAAAAAGAGCTAATCCTGGGGCAGAGCTAAGCCTCAGAAATGAAACACAGAAAAGAAACACAAAAGCCAAAGCAATTTCTTACACTAATTGCCAAGGTTGTCTCTGCATGTCACTGAATTCCCCCTCAATAAGGGACAATAAAGGCGGTTGTGTCTCAAGGCAGGACTCCTCATGCCAGTTAGAAACCAGTCTTTCGTTTCAAACTAAGGAGCTAAACTATACCTCACTGTAATGTACCTCAGCTGTACCAGCCTGCGTGTCTCCACCAAGAGAAGGCAGACTCCGGGACACAGAGACTCAAATCATCTCAGTCAGCAGTCTTTTCAGGCACAGGCATCCCATATCACCACATTCACCCTTTCACAAAGTACCCTCTACAAGCACCACGGAGGGACAGTCCATACCCTGATCATATACACTGGAAATACCTCCCCTCTATGCCCGCTTATGGGCCACGATCTATAACATGGTCTAAAATGCCTAAGAATAACCAGGGGAGAGGAGAGGGAAGGGTACCTGAAGAAGGCAACCCACAGAAAAATCATTTAGGGTAACTGAGGGGATATAAACAAAAGCTACCAACATGGACCAAGGGAAAAAATGGGGGGGGAAAGAATAAATTCCCTAGAATATGAATTCCCTTTGCTATAAAACTCTGAAGGTCTACTGGATTACAGAACAGCATCGAAGGAGAGGTGGCAGACACCCCAGTTAAAACCGAACTGGTCAGACATCTGAAATACAGTCAGGAAGAGCACTAAGCCGGCTAAGGAACGCGATGGAAAGCACAACGGCACTTCTGCCTCCACAGCCCGGTGCACGTTCTGCCTCAAAATCACCCTTGAAGCCACGGGCACAGTGAGGCCACATAAATGGCCCAATTAAGCCTAATGAAGGCAGCTGCCCAACAGCAGCAGAGGCACCACCTTGCAACACATTTAGCTATTTGTTCTGAAGCAATTCAACAGCACCAGTAAGAGGTAGCTTATTTCATCACCTTTCAGCCTCCCTGTGTCGCTACACTGCGTTGAGTGACACCGACACCTACAACTATCATTTCTTTCACGGGAGATCAGTCTCGCTGAGGACGCTGCTGTGTTTGGTAAAGGCAAGACCTGCTTGCCTGCTCCTCTGTTACCCATTAAATTCTTCACGATGTACAATGCATAATGCTTGAGACTTTGTTGCCCTGAGGATGTTTGATTCCAGCATCTTCTCCCTCCAAAGTCATTCTTATCTGTGGAACCTGGGAATTCACCAGTGGCAGAAAACATCACAAAACCAGGAGATGGTTCATGCAAAATGCCACAACTGCGGCTGTACCCATTTGATCAGGGCTGGATATTTCAGGTCAGTTGGTCAGCAAGAGTACCTCACTACATTGTTCTTGATTCAGAGATACTCTAATATACATCAGGCTCTTTAGCACCTCATTACCTTCCTATTTTTGAAGAGAAAATGCACATCTCTTCCTTAGGTTGATTAACCAAACCCTGAAATGCACAAAGGGATCCTTTGAGCATTAAACCATCTGGCTCGAACTGGATTTTACAAGTGCTGCTTAGGAAATGTCAGCACATACTACTGAGGGCTGCTCCACCTTAGTTCAGCCCTGTTCCTTTTCCCACACCAGAACGTCCCCTCATGGTCCTTGTACAAAGTCGCTAAGCTGCGGTACCAAGCCCTGGGAAACAGAAGCTGCCCTTAACTCTGGTCTAAGCTGCTCTTTAAAGCCCCCTTTCCGCCAAGGAGCGAAGCACACCTGTAAGTCTCTGTCCAATGGCCATAGTAACACTCAAGCACCTGGTTAAGGAAATACTGAACTGAACAGCAGCATAATACCCAGTCTAAGATCCAGGGATCAGAGGGATCATGTTTGTTTATTCTGGATTAGAGCAAAGAGAAAACTGTTGCAGTCGGTTCTATGCTGCCTGTCTGTTTTGATTTCTTCGTCTTGGTATCTAAGGAGCTGTTAAGTTACAAATAATTTTACTTAGTTAGTTATGATGTTCTCTTTCCTCCACTTTTTCTCTCCCTACTCCATCCCCAACCCCCAGTCCTTGTTTGTGCCAAACAGTCAGAAGCGGAGCGACGATATGATAAGTCTTGACAGCTTTCAGGGTTTGCCGAAATGTGAAATTAAACAAAACCAAAACCATTAACAGGGCTACTCTTGACAATTTGATGGCTTCCATGCAAACAGTGAAGCTGTCATGGTTAAAAGAGAAAACATTAAAACAAAAAGATTAGCAAGAAGTCTACAGCTTGAACTTGATCGATTGGCAGCCAAATATAAGTCTCTATCAATTCCACGTGGTGAATGCAGGGCTGACTTCTTAAAAAAAAGAGCCAACAAATCCCCCTCAAAGATGTCAGGCTACTGACAACAGCCTTTTTTAAATTCCCTTGAGAAATGTTTAATACATTATTTGCCCAATTGTTCATGATAATTCACTCTCTTGCAAGCAAGGCAGCTCACAGCAAAATCTGAAACAAAATGCAGCTTCTTCTCAAATTTTTTTTTTCCAATAAATGTTGCATTTTTTTTGCAAAATCTTTTATTCTACGGCCAAAACAGTGGGACACTCGAAGGGATAGTGTCATAGCTCTAAGACTTAGGAGATTTGAGTTAAGCGTCTGTTCCAGGACAGACCTCAGCGTAAATCTCGAATACACCATTTAGTATGTCTGTGCCTGAGTTGGAAAATGGTGAGTACAAAGACACAAGTAGCGGGTTCTTTGCCAGCCCTGGACTTTGTAATTGGCTGTGGATGGAGCGGTTTATTTTCCTCAAGACAAACTGCTCATAGGCATTTATACAGCAGAGTCAAGCAGTGAAGTGGAAGTGGGTGGCTTACTCTAAAAGCATAGATTCAGTCAGTCTCTCCTTCCCCAAGAGATACGCAGATGTGTGTGCACTCGCTCTCTTGGCAAAAAAGCTGCCTAAGGAATTAGATCCTCCAAATTGTTCTAATGGGCTAGAAAATAAATTATTCAGACTTCAGTGCACATATTTAGAATTGATCTTACAGTATGGTAAACAAAGTAATCCCAAACAGCCCAGGATATATGCATGTTGTGGGAGAAAATTATTCTGAAGTTACAGCTACGCACTTAAAATACTGTAGGAGAAATTGCCTCATTGTTCATGATAATGGTGTTGGTGTCTTTAAGTGTTTTTTTTTATTGGTTTTATTACACGGAAAATGCATCTAATTGAGGCTTCTCATATTGTATCCGATTATGATCTACCCATCATACCTCCTCTTTTAGATAAAAAAATTCCTCACATATTAAAAAAATACACTGATAACAGAATCCAAGTGGAAGGTATGACCAGTGGTTTTGTAGTTAAACTACCTCACTTGGAGGGGTTTTCTCCCCAAATCTCCACATATTTAAACTAGAAGAGTTTCTCAATCCCACTTGCTATCCAGTTACTCTTGTGGGAATATGCTTCCCCCTCTAACTAAGGAGTAAGAGTACACAACGGAAAAATCAACATCAAAGTCTTAATAGTAGTGATGTGAACATTATCCAGCAAATGTTCTTGCAATGTAAGGTATATTTAAATTACTGTTCCTTTCAGCTAGACACATAGAGGAGGTGGGAATGAAATACATATATACATTGAAGGACTGGTGGGAGATGTGGTGGTCGGAGGCTGTCTCAGGCATAGCGACCACAAAATGATAGTTTTCGATTCTTGGTAAGGTAAGGGAGAGGGGACAGTAAAACAGCTCCTTTGGACTTCTGGAGGGTGGACTTTGGCCTCTTCAGGTCACTGGTTGAGAGAGTCCCTTGGGAAACAGTCCTGAAGGGGAAAGAGGTCCAGGAAGGCTGGACATTCTTC